GTGGCGACACATGCTTCTACAGTTGTGCACATTCATCAAACAGACTTCACTGTGTAATATTTTGTGTTCGGTTCAGGCAGGATGTGGATGTGTGAATGATATCAGTGATTTACACTCTCACATCCTGACTGACTCATTATCGTCGACTGAGAACTGAAGCCTGTGTGGATGCCATGGCTAAATAAGGCTGTAACTGCTGCTCAGTGTGTGTTCGCTCACTGGAGACCCTTTTCTATCATAGAGCAAACTGACGACCCCTCGCTGTATTTTATGGATGTTAACAGTTCAGGACAACTGATGAACTGAACAATGCATCCAAACATTAAACACTGTTATAAGTTATTTTAACTCAAAGAAATTATTTAAACTGATTACATCAATAACTTTAAGTAGCACAAACTCTCTTTTTTTAACACAAACACAAAAAAATTTAGTTTTTGTAATTTTCTTAACATACATTGTTAAATAGGAGAACAATATAATTGAGGGTGTGATCTTAAAGGGTTAAAATGACATTTATAGTTTAATCTTGTTCTCTTTATATAGTTTTTCTACATGTTTAATGGACAGAAAATGAAAAGAAACCCTCCTTAATGGAAAGAAACACATCTGGCAACATCGTTGTGTTTGAACTGGAAACAATGGTGGCAGCAACCATCATCGTCTGAAAGCACCTTGTGAAAACGAGTCCGTACCGCATTCCCACCACGTGTACGAGGAGGTTCACGGCGTTACAGCGCTGCTGGCAGCTGCTGCAGTGATTCCTGTAAGAACCTGCGCTGTGGGAAGCTGAAAGAAACGAGGGTCTTATGGGTCTCATAGGAAAATGTTCTCAGTTAACACTCGCCGCTCGGACATTCCTGCTGCCAGGACGTCTGGAATTCAAACACTAATGAAGTTTAAACACTTCTGCAGCTCGGTGCGTCGGTGCCAGCCGGCAGGGACAGGTGCGCCGTTGTCTGGGGTGGAAACTGGAAATGATTTGATTATAGGGTCTCGTGAAGTTGTGACGAAGGGAAAAGATATAATTACACTTTTAAATATGAGTGAATGTGTTTTATGAGAGAAGAAAATGGACCCAGACAACCTGGAAGCTGTCAATCACAGTCGTCTGACGGCGTTTTTCAAGACGTGGACACAGCCACGGTTTTCAGATCACATCATACAGAAACCAGAAGTAGTTATCCAACATGTAACTCTCTATAAAATTACAAGAAGAGAGGAAACATCTTCAGTGTCGTTCTCATGAAAAGCAAAAGTGCTTTACGTAGAGGAGGAAATGCATTTAAAACACGCAATGCATGAACAGGGAAGTTGTCTTTTTGTGTTTCACAGAGTTTTAATGACAAAACAAAACAAGGAAAATATGAAATATACATTATATACATTATATATGTTATATAAATGTTATATATATGTAAATATCATGAAAATGCTCGTTACAGGATGAGCACTGATCATATAATCTCATTCAATTTGGACAAAAAAGGAAGAATTGTGACAGTGGTGATCTGATGCTCTGCTGCACACACACTTCCTGTTTACTGTAAAGACATCCGCCGGTTTTGCTCTCCAACAGTCTGACAGTTTCTTTATTTTAATGATCAGAAGATGATTTGACAGACGTGTTTTCTCATTTCCTGTTTGGGCCCAAACACGAAGCCGATTCGGGCCAGGTAGGCAGTTTGTGTCTGTTTAACCAGTGCAGTCTTCAGTGTGACCAAAAATGACCAAATGACCTGGAAATAATCTCTGTTATTTAATTGTATTTTATCATGCTGACGTATAATCTAACGTTACTTCCTTTCTGTGTCTCTGCAGCCACCAAGCGTCCCTCCTCAGTCTCGTCTCTGAGTGGGATTGTGGGTAGGATGATGTCGTCCGGTGAGCGAGGAGCCTCGTCCTCCTGCACCTCCGTCAACACCGTCTGCTCAGACGGCGAGCGCCCCGCCTCCCTCTCCCTCTCCTCCTCTGCGTCCTCCGTCTCCCTGCAGGACACTTCCCACTCCTCCTCTTCCTCCTCCTCCTCTTCCTCTCTGCCCTACGGCGCCGTGCCGACGTACAACGCCTCTCTGTCGGCGTCCTCCACGCCAAAGAGGAACGGCTCAGACATCAGCCTGGACCTCACGCCCCTCGTCACACCACACGGAGGAGGAGGAGGAGTTCCTGGAGGAGGAAGAGGAGTTTGTGTTGCGAGGGCGACAGATGGAGGTCACCCCCCGAATGGACATGTAGCCAATGCAGCGGCAGCGGCGGCAGTGGCCACGCCCAGAAGACAGCTTTCACGAATGGAGCGAGTCGTGATGGAGATCGTAGAGACGGAACAGGCCTACGTCAGAGATCTGAAGAGCATCGTGGAGGTAAGAACCCGACTCATTAATACTAATATTTTAAATATTACTTTAGACTTCAAACTTCAGCAAACGCTTTAAGACAACCTCAAAATATCTTTTTGTTTGTCCAACGATTACAAACAGCAAGCATCTTCCTCTGAAGACTCATATCAGGGCCTGAAATGGACCAGAACCCGAATCCAACCCTAATTATTTAAAGCACATTTTCAGCTCTGTTTTGTTAGCATTAAGCAAGCTGTGTGAAGAAGTGTTCTCAGTACCGGTCCATTAGCGGACATTGTCGTAGAAGCAGCTGTTTGCGTAAACCGGTAAAACCTCCAATGGTCTTTTATGAATGCAGACTAGCGCCACCTGCTGGTTATTACCTCTCATTTGTGCTGGTCGGTTGTTGTTGTAGTGTCTCTTTTTGGCGAAGACAACCTAGTTCCTGACGTCGGTTTGGTGTGTCGGGGCCTTTAGTTTCGGGGGTTTTGGACTTTCTCTCTCCTTTGCTGTCGCACTGATACTTTCTCTGTCTGGAGTCACATGCTCACATGGAAAAAGCCAATTAGAAACTGTATCTGTGGACAGGGGGGAATCCCGTTTTCCTAATCAGCTCCCTCAGAGAACAGGTTCCTCTATTTTATGGTGTTTGAGAAATCAGGTGACAGCAGAAATCCCACAGAAACCTGATTACTGAAGCTCATGTAGACGCAGCGATGGAGGGTTTCTCTTATTGATCCGTCTGAAAGAGTGGAAAGATGAATGAGTATCTGCTACAGCGCCTCATGTAACTTCAATCTGCAGGAGTCAGGGGTTTCTATAGCCACGAACCTGCACGGTCCAAGTTATTATTTTTAAATAAAGAAATACGTAAACGTTAAAAACCTACCATTCTTTTACGGATCTGATAGACGCAGTTCTTGTTGTTGTCGTATTTTGGATGTATTGTGTTGGTATTAGTTGTGGCTGTGACGACTTCTTTGCGCTGTGGTCACTTGTTTTAGACGTATAGCTATTTTAAAAACTACATTTATATTAAATCTGCTTTAACTTCCTGTGAAAATTGACTCTTTTCTTAGCATCCCCTCGTATTGATCGAGCTTTGGATACGAGTAAGTTCGTGTTTTGGGGCTGATTTGTAGTAATTTGTGTGATTTTGAGCGAGGTTATCTTACTCCGGGAGGTTTCACTCAGGCTCCCGTTGGGGCTGGAACAGATGTTATATAAGACTTCATGTTTTTGTACTTACACTTGTTGAATGACACCTCAGAAAAGACAAAAACAGAAGTTGACTACGGTGTCAGCAGGAGGAAGTGACTGTTGACCTCTGCCCCGTGGGAACAGCAGAAAGCCATGACTTTGTATTTTGAGGTGTTCGCTCTCATTTAGGCACCTGTCAGTCAATCACAATGCAGCTGTGGTTTAATGTAGTTAATGCACTAATACAATGAAACGTGTGTGTGAGTGTAGGTGTGTGTATATGTGTGTGTGTGTATGTAGGTGTGTGTGTGTGTGTGTGTGTGTGTGTAGGCGTGTGAGTGTTGGGGGGAGGAGCTAGCTGTAACCTAGATTTACTGGCCAGGTGTGAATGCCTCTGGGCCAGTTTACCTGCAGCTGGCCACACACACACACACACACACACACACACTCCTCCGCCCACTATTGCACCACAGATGTTGAGCGTGATGATGGTTTTTGGTTCAACATGAAGTAACCGTTGCAGCCTTTATACTCGGCATTAGATGCTAATTAGCAGTTGTTAGCATGCTACTCCAAACTAACATGATAAACATTAGCATGTTAGCATGTGAATGTGTTTGTTTATATGTATTTTAAACTTATAAAGGGAAAGAGAAAACAAAAAAACAAGATCAAATCACATTAAAATGAAACTTAATGAATAAATCATTTAATAACAAGATTGAATCTCTATTTCTATCTTTCACTAAATCAGATATTACTGACTTTACTGTTGCTGCTCTAGAAACAATCTGTATATATTATATATATTATTATATTAGTTAAACCAATGTATATAAAACATTCTAATCTGGTCCAGCACATTTTTCTTGCTAATGTGAAAAACTGTTTGGGTTGTTTAATAAATATTGTCATAATAATAAGCTATTTTCTAGTTTTTAGTCAAATAACATGAACATTTCTCGGGGGAGAAAGAAACCCCCCCATCATAACCACAGCACCGAACCCTTTTTACATGTTTCCTCATACAGGCCAGTTATATTGGAAATGGCCTGTATGAGTTAAATGTGGTCACTATAGGGCGCCACGCCGTGCTAATCTGGGTCTGAAGTTACGATGATCTGAAGGTAAAATTAGTGTTTTTGTCTCTGGAGTCTGGTGGAG